TGGGCAAAAGCATGTAACGGGAGGGGCCTTGGGCTGGCTTGCCTGTGAAAGGGGGGGGGGGGAAAAAGCACAATTCTGGCTGCGGAGTTTCTTTACTATAAGTATCTCCTCTTCCGTGTCTAAATAGACAAAAGACTTGTAGCACAGCAGGGCTTTTTATATTTGAAAGTCAAAGGAAACAGCTGAAAATCTTAATCTGTGCCACGCACCTTTTGCTGTGCAGAATGAGAAGCGGTGCTAGCCAGAGACTGTCTCGGGAATGACTGTGGATGTGTTATAATACCTGAAAGAAGGAAAACCAACCCCAGGCTCCCTGTGATGGAGACTACTGAGAAGTAGGAGCTGTTTGGAGGCTAGCTAAATCTAGAACAAATACTGGAATAAAAGTCACTGAGGAAGGGAAAAGGAGTTTAGAAAAAGAGATTGCTGCAGCCTTTTGTGTCTATTTCTTAGTGCCCCTACCAAGTCTACCACCATTAAAACCTCGTTTTAAATTATAAAACAAGCAGACGGAAGCCAAAAGGTTTGAGGCTTTTAACACTATTCACTGTTAAACAATGAAAAAAATCAATGTTACCAGCAACCTAGAAACCAATTTTCAAATACAAGTTTTTAGCAGAGCAGGCGGTCTGAATTTTCTAGCAATGTAAATCATTTCCCTACCAGTAGGAAAAAGAAAAAACAGTGAAGCAATATCCAAGCATTTGAGTAGCATATATTCATATACACTTGAAACAAGTATCTGAAAGTTTGTAATACTATATGACTTCTAAGAGTGGAAAGGTAAACAGTGTAGTGAATTGGTTTTTTTGACTCTAAACGTTGAAGTCGAATCACTTTGAGATCATGCTGTTACTCAGGAGTGAAATGCAGTGGGCTGCTACCTTGCGCATATGCGTTGTCTTTCAGTGGATTGCCAATGTAGTCCCATCCCATGGGGTCATCCTACTGTCTTTAAGATGTTTCAAAGTAACATGCTATGAATGTTCCTTTTGTCCTCTAGCACAATCCCAGTAAGATATCAAACAAGTGTTTGTTGAACTGTGTGCATATGCTTAGCACTGCCTTAGTTCTGCCACTGTCAGGTGAGATATGGTGCAAGCGCCTACAAATGAAAGCTTATGGGGAGGGATGACAAGCTGGAGTTGGATCCTACTGCATGGAGGGGGTGAATGAACTCAAGGGACGGTTACCTTGATCGCTAACTTTCCCAAAACCTTTGGCGTTGTTACCAACAGTAGGCCTCCTATAATTGCCAGAACCTGTAACAAGCACTGAATTATTTACGGTGCAGCGCTTCTACTTACTAAGCAGGCGTTTGGCAGGCCACCTCAGCTGATGCAGCCCCGTGTGCTTGTTGTACCTGGCCTCACTAGCATGTCAGGAAGCAAGGCTGTCCCACTTCATGTCTTAATGAAAGCATGTGAGAAAAATCTTTATCTTTCTCAGTTGTCTTTTTTTGTCTAGTAATGATTAAATTTAGCAGTTTCCATCTCCTGTTTGCTAGTAAGTCTTGGAGTAATCTCAGGATCCTTGAGGAAAAATGAGAAGGGGAAGGTATGTTATTTGAGATACTAAATGGTTTGCATTAGGGCTTCAAAACAAAGGAAAGGAGGAAATGTTTGTTGAAGAGCAGGCAGAAGACATTTCTGCAATGTTTTCAGTGTAGCATACCTTAGATTCCCTTTACCTGAGTCTTACTAGAAAGTTGAGATTTGTTTAGAGCGTTCATAGTAGGTTCTGAGAGTTGTCATTTTGCGCTTCAGTTTTACTTTGTCTAGAAACATGTACAACCAACTTTCATTACTGCTCAAAAAGACTTAGTTTGTGTAATAATTCGTCCATTTGGTCTTACAAAATAGATGAGCAATTCCTATAATTGTTATCAGATTAATAGAATATGTTCATCTAAATGCATAGCAAAGCTTCATGCAGTTTTTTGAGGCAATGCAAGTTAAATTAATAATGCTTGTCTCTCGCACACCTGTACAGGGATTTTAGGCCTCCTTGAGTCATGTAGTGCTTACATGGCTTCCTTCATCTGACTGTCCAAAATCAAAACTTTACTGTCTCCTATTTTCTCTGCATGCAAATAAAACAGAACAGTTAGCAGTACAAACAGGAATATCTGGTCAACAAAATCTGTACTTCACATTTAGTACTTCTTGCATTTAGTGGTGTCTTCACCTGCTTGGTTGATAATTCCGCATCCAAGTGTCATTGCAATGCCCAGAACGTTGCCAGTTGTTGTCTCAGTGGTCCTGACTTACTGCCTACAGAACATACCATTCTTGCAGCTTCAGAAAGTTGGCTATTCTTAAGAGGCATTGTGCATTTTTCCTGATGGTTCTTTGTCAGTCCTAGTGAAATACTCTGTGATTCATCATCACAGAGAGAAAGAAAAGCATGAAAGAAAAATGCTTTTTTCTTTGTACTTGACTAAAGTAGAAAAAGCACAAAGTGTGTGTGATTTGTAGTCATGTAACTGTTCAGCTCATTGTATTAAATATATGTGTGTGTGTATGTATAGGTACTTACACTTTTGTCTCAGACCTTGCCAAGAATATAAGCTTGTGCAGGTGAATATTTTTACCTGTCTTGCGCATCTGGGTGTTGACTGTTCCTGCTTCAGATGCTCTACGTGCTATCCACTTTTGACTGACATCTTCCAGAAAACAGTTACCTGGATTTTTTCCTCTGTTAAAGCAGCTCTTATTTGTTTTCTGTATGGAAGACCTATGGAGACTCCAGTAATTTAGTCTTTATTTAAAGCGTTGCAGCTACTGCTGATCACCCAAAGTTTGTATTCCTGAAACCAGCCCCCCTAGCCAATATTTGTTTTATTTGGCCAGGCATGTTGAATGTGAATGAACTTTGAAAGTTTGCAGGAATATTTGGTTTTTTATGTGACCACTTCTTTCTTTTTTTTTTGGTCATCTGTGACTGATTAGGCTAAAGATTTTGGGATTTCCTTACTAGAACAGACTTGGACATCTTGTGCCTAAGACAAGAGGAGTCCATAGGTCTGTTTTGCATCA